AGTAGAAGCCGCGGCCGCGCCGGCCAGCCTTGGATTCTGGCTCCGGTTTCTTCCTTACTTTGTTGAGTCTCTTTGGATCTTTGTGAAGGCCCGGTCTCCAACGGTCGATCACAATTCGAAAAAATATAATTTACAAAATTACATAAATCGATTCCTAGATCCAACGAGTGGATGTACATGCCTTCTACTAATAAATAAAACTATCCGGTCAACCGCCGGGCAATTAATACAAGCATTCATCCATAATTCCTCGACAATCCCGAGGCTTTAAAAACAAGTTTAAAACCATACAACCAACCATCAGTTAAGCACAAGCACATTAAAAGGGTGGCCATAATAGTGGATTAACTACTTCCTGCAAAACCAAGTTATGCATATAATCCAATATATATGGCTGCGCTTGAGCACACATAGACAATAAAAGCCGTTTAATCCGGATCTTGTACATAACGGATTAACCTCGTGCTCTGATACCAATTGTTGGGACATATGAGGATCTCGATATGCACAAATCACGGACAAACATTCAACATAAACCTATGCGCAGCGGATCTAAAGGTTTGATGAAGAAAACTTACTGCTTAAAATTTTTGTAGATCTGGCTGGCCCGAACAGTTGACCGCAAATCAAATCTTCTCGGAATCGAACAAACTTGACCAATCCAGAAAGCTAGCGTCACGGCAAAGTCAACAGCGTTGACCGATCAGAAATCGGATGGTTCACGCGCTCTCACGCACGCGAGTAAGCTCCGGCAGCTGCTCCCTTCCGGCGGCGCGTGGCGGCGCATGCGGCGGCGGCTGGTGGCGATCTAGACGGCGATCTCTTCGTCTCGTCGTCCTGGTCGTCGTGGTATGGTCACTTGCTGGTTTTGGTCTCTCGTTTGGATGTATGATAGATCTGATTGGAATCCCGTATATACCTTAAGATCTTCTACTGTATTCTCAAACAGCTATCTAGATCTTGTATTAGTGGAGCACAAGAAATAGAACTACTCCTTGGAAGAGAGAGAGAGAGGGGCGGACGCAATTCCCAAGGTTGTGGGATTGTTCTCTTCTTCCATGAGCCTAATGCTGTATATATATAGAGCTACAGTAGGGACCCTAAGGAGAATAGGATAAAAGGCTTCTAATATATTAATACTGTGGAGCAACACCACAATTAATATATTAATAATATTAAAGTCCACCACAATAATATTATTGCAATCC